TTAAATATGTGATGTGACAATGCCTATCTATTTTTCTTTTCCTAAACCTAACCTACATAATGAACGACGCCATTCATGGGGCTCTAATTCTTTAGATATCTTGCAAACCGTTGTATGAGAATATGTTGATCTGGGGTTGACTTTCACTTTCATTGGTGACACTTGCTACAAACATCCATCCATTTCCATCCATTTTCAAATGCTTATCCAAAGCTGGGTCGTGGGGGCAGCAGGCTGAGCAAAGCATTCTAGACGTCCTTCTCCCCAGCAATACTTTCCAGCTACTACTAGGGGAACCCCAAGGCGTTCCCCGGCCAGACAAGATATGTATTCCATCCAGCGTGTTCTGGGTCTGGCCTGGGGCCTCCTACCAGTTGGATGTGCCCAGAACACCTCTAACAGGAGGAGCCCAAGAGGCATCCTGATCAAATGCCCAAACCACCTCAATTGACCCCTTTCAATGCAAAAGAGCACTGGCTCTACTCCTTGCAACAGTTACCAAAAAAATCTGCCTAGTATTACTCTAGGGCAGCAAAAAACAGTAAAATAAACTGACAGATGGAGATGGTTGAAACAAGCACTTTCTTATTGCGTACAGGCCAAATCAATTGGAGTAGACCAGATGTTCAGCAAGTGTGTTGACCTTTTTGCTTGTCATGGTTTTAATTTTGATATCAACTCTGGCAGTAAAAGTCTGGCAGTAAAAGAGCAAGAATAACTTGAAGGGGAACTGAAGGTGTGTGAGCACTTCTAATAAGAGTTCAGGGAGAGGAAACAAAGTACAGACACGCATCACATTAAAGGAAACATCAATAAAGTTCTCCCTGCTGTGATTTCTGCAGGAGCTCCATGACATCTGTTGCCAATGTGGGGTACGTTTCCCGACATGAGCTAAAAACAAGCACTTACAATGGAAAACAGTCATGTTTCTCTGAAAGTATCGTGACGTGCATGAGATATTTTCTCATTGTCCCATGAAGTGCTGTAAATGTCATCACTTCCCAACCAGCATGTCACAGCAGCAGACGAATGCATGAATGATGTTCAATGTGGCAAAATTCTGCGTATCCTTTATATTCAGGATTCCCCTTGTTTTGTTAGGAATGATGGACACATTTCTTAGTCTGAGATAGAAAGGAGAGATGAATGGATAGAAAGATGGTGTAAGACATGAGGAGATGGATCGATAAAGCATAAATGACACGCTATTACGTTCTCATTTTTACAATGTAATGCAAAGCAACTCCTAAACTACAGCATCTGACTGTGGTTCTAGTTTTTCACAGGAGGGATGGAAGAAATAATGTTTCTCAAGGTCGCGATTGGTTGATATTTTCAACCAAACCACAAAGGGCCAAAGCAAAAACATCTTTTGACGTACCGAATGTTCCCAAAATTAGTAAAAGCACTTGTGGATGAGTTGTCAGCTGAAATAGAAACTTAATGCCTGTTGAAATTTGTGACAAACACGCTGACAACTTTGGTATTTGAGTGATTGGTCAGTGTGTGTTACTGCATTCCACTGTCCTGGTTGGGAACCAGTTTGCCCGCCCACATCCAGATCCCAGAGTCGGTAACTGAGTCCAACCATTTGAAGCTGATCTCAGATAAGCAAGCAACAGTCTGCTCACATCTGTACTCTCTCACACACAGACATGAAGGACACAAGCAAATACACATGCCGACCCAGATACCAACACGCACACATATCACACATGCTGGCTAGCAGTATACGTCCTGCTGTTTCATGTAGTTGCATTTATGTTGTAGTAGTTTTATATACAGGAATTTATGAGAAATGCTGTATACTGCTGTTAATGTACTACGTGACTCCTATTTAAAGTCTCTGTGGGAGGTCTATGGACGTCAGACCAACATGGAGGTAGTTTTTAATGCAAAGCCATACAACAGTATTCTTCAGTCATTGATTTCTCGTGTATAAACAATATGGTGAGGGGATTTTTTTTTTATCTGTTAATGGGATACCAGTCTTCCTTTCTTCTTCTCTGTCTTCCATAACAATCTGATTCTAGGTGATTTCACCCTCCACTCTGTCAAAGTTAATTAATACATCCATTCCTCTTTTTGATGATAAAAACCGAGGACCTTTGTTCATGTTAAAAAGAATCTTTCAACACGATGAAATGAAAATTCAAGGCAACTTAATTAATCTTTGTAGTCTTTATTCTCTCCGCATAGCCTAATTGAAAGTGTCCTAGTTTCATAGCTTTCTGATCATGGAAATTAGTAAGATGGGGAAAAAGCTCCACTGCAGCACCAAATCTGAGGCCAAGCATTACATGCACTGATGTTCCAAGGTTATATCCTAACTTTCAGAGGAAGTGTAAACCCTGATAATGACTGTGTCATTATGGAGCATCCGGTGATTCATTCATCTCTGTCCTCAGTCCAAGGAGCAGTTTGCTCCTAAAAACACTGCAGACACTGTAGCAGAACCACAGATATTATCTTTTAAGAATTATGTTTCCTCTCCGTGCTAACAACATAATCCTTGTTCTTTTTGTTCTTATATTTTTCTAAAAACTGGCAAACATGCTGTAATAAAAACAAAATCCACCATGGTTTACCTTCATCCCCACTGCTTCCTCAGTAAACACAAATGCTGAGAAGATTTCCCGCAACTGTGGAGTTCCCCCTCAGATTAAGGGATGGCTTTTAGTTCACTATGTTTCGTTTTTACTGCTGACATTTTATTTCGTTTCAGTCTAACACCTCTTAGGAGCATTATTTCAAGTTAAAGCTGTGCAACAAAAAAGCTCTGATTAAATCACTACACAATATCTGCCCAGCACTAAAGGACATACAGACAAAGTTAGCTATATAGTCAACATAGTGAAGCATCGCTGCTAAGGCAAATACTTCCCTCATGAGTCACTAGAGAGCAAAACAGAGCTAAAGGTTGTGAGGGCTGTGTGGGTACACACTCATAAATGTCCCAAGCACAGAAAATAAGAAGAAAAGAAGACCAGACAGGCAGAGGGCAGAATCTTTGTAGGTAAATACACTTCCACACACTTCTTGTGGGTCATAGGTGATGGCTGATGATTGTGGTTTTTTTAGGAAAATTGTGCATAATACATCTTCATGTGTAAGCTTATTAGTATATGCACATCAGGTAATTACAAACATTAATTAAATAAGAAGCTATCAGTATGTGATTTTGCAATATCGGAACCCATCAGCTATTGTCTGATGATGATAAAGCGTCTGGGGGCGAGGGCCAATATGTCAGGCTGATCCAGTGTAGCCAGCAAACTTTGTCTTTCTTGTGTTGGTCATTTTGGCTAATCTCTACAATAAATTATAGTTCTATATGAATGCAGATACATTTTTTAAAAAGCTTATAAAAAGTGAACTTGCCATCAGATGGGTTCCGAGTTTGCATATCAGCCAGTTTGCTCCATGGTTTGTCAATACATGGTTTGTCAATACTACTCGGACTACAAACAGACTTCAAATGGAAACCAGAACACTTTAGACACCAAAATCTTGTCCCGTCTTCTACAGATTCTGCATACATTTGCAAATATCTGTTTATAGAGATTCTTTAAGTCTCACATTGACGTAGTTTTTAACTTGCCTACATACTACAACACCATAATAGAATCCCTGAAACTCAATTATGGCTTTTGGTTTGCCACCCCACAGTATTCGGTGGCCCAATTTGGCAGCCCCTATAAAGAATATGTGGGGGCACCGATGCCTTCAGCTGCTGTGGTTCACTTACACATCTCAGTCTTGGTTTTCATGTTTTGCTAGTTGTCTCCTTGTGTGTCAAGTGCGATGATGCCAAACATCTAATCATATACTGGGTAAAAAGACAGATGGAACAACAACTTCTTGTCCAACATGTCAGAGATTAAAAGTTCAAGCAACATTTGTTCTGTACAAACAACCACACCTGGCCCCTCAGCTTCAGCTCCAGTTTCACTTCAACAATTCCACCATCGTCTGGGTTCCCGCAGAAATCCGAAACCTGACTTATATATTTAGGAGACAAACAGCTGCTGTCAGCGTAAAATACTGCCAACCTTGACACCTGGGGTCTTTGGTGATGTTCATGGTGGTAGATGCTGATGTGTGTGTTCTGTCCTCGTGTGCACTTAGCAGCCTGCATGGTCTATCCTTGTATAAAAGAAACCAAACCTTTGCGTGCTACAAAGCGGTCATGGTGGTCTGAGGGGGTACATTTTTGATCAAGATGCTTGTGGTATTTCTGTCGGCTTCAAGGACTTAGCCTGTTATGTGTCCTCACAGCACTCTTAGTGGAGGCTTGTTCTTACAGGAATAACCTGAGGAACATTTAGTGCGCAAGTGTCAAATCATATCAAGCCTTTATGGTGTCTCGCTGCCAATCATCCGACCAACAACAAATTATACAAGAGTCTTGTGATTATTATCACCATTTTCAAAACCCCCACACCCCCAGAAGGTTTGATTCCAGGAAACAGAGCTCTTTTTTTGTCTCTGACTCTAATAAGATCTGTATGCCACTGCTGTGAGCATGTTATTTGATTCATAATTTGCCCTTTCTTATAAGTGCTTTCTTGTGTAGACTTTTAAAAATGTATTTTTTCAAACATAACCTCTCAGCAGTGGTTCCCTCTATCCTAAGCCGACTCTACGTTTTTCCTGGCGCCAATCTTTCCCCCTTGAATCCAACCTTTATCCAGTTACTGTGTTTAAGACCCTACTCCTTCTGCTAAAGAGATTAAATTCAACATCCTCTGCTACAGTAACCAAACACATGCAGACAGGGGGGAAATTACTGTTATTATTATTATTATTATTATTATTAAAAGTTCTGACAAAAGTGTAAGAGGCATGATTAGCTCAGAAGAAAAGAGTAGTAAATACTGCTCATTATCTTTCTCCTCCTCCTCTCCCTCTCCCTTTTCATTCAATCACTTGAGGAGAGGAGGAGAGGAGACACTCCCAAGCTAACTGCCCATTGGCCTAAAGGCATTTGGGAGAGATTTTAGCAATTGAAGAGGGAGGGAGAGAGCAAAAGTCACTGGCAGTGTTGAGGTCTTTGAATCAACAGGTGGCAGAGGGAGAAACTTGCTGACGAAGAAAGAGAGTAGAGGAGGAGAAAGTTAAAGAAAACCCTCAAGGGTAAGGCTACATTTTCATTTTGTCATTCTCAGTGATTTAAAAATGGCACTTCATTTGTACAGTCCCCAATCTGCCTATTTTTATTAAATGATTTAGTTTACTCGCCATTATTAGTCCAATTACCCTGTGTGACATTTCTTTAGACGTTTTGTTAGGTAGGTTTTTTTTTGTTCAATGTTAGATTAAAGTAATTTATTTTATGACATTTCTATTTAGTAAAAAAAGTAAGTGAAAGCATTTTTATGACAATCAAGAGAAAAACAACTTTGTTAATTAAAGGTCTGTTGTGCTAAGAAAGCACTCTTATTTATTTTTACCTCATCCCAAGGTGACCAAGTACGCGTTTGCTTCTCCTCTGGTACTCTTTCTCTCTATTTATCAACCTGCTTCACACCAGAAATAGGCTATTTCTCTGCTTTTCTTTCTCTCCATCCATCTAAATGTTCTTAGCCGTCTTTCCTTCCTCTTTTCTTGTTATCCCTGTCTCACCTCAGCCTATCTGCCAGGCTATCACCAGATGGGTGGTAGGGCTTGAGTGACACAGTCCACATCTGCAGCCTCTCACCCTGACCCTGCTGTCAGTTAAATGACAGTGTTAAGTTTAACTTGACACCTGGAATTTATGATGTGTCTCAGGACTAAAGGTGGTCTTATGTTAGTTTGGGTGTGCATGGCAACACTTTGTCTTCGTTGTTTCGTTGTGGAAATCTTGGTCAGCGATAACTGACGTGTGATGGGGATGAGATGCTAAATGAGGTTATGTGAGCATTAAAGTGTTGGAACGTTTCTTCCTGCATTTACAGTGCATTCACTTTGGCATTTTTATTTTTAACTTTAAACATTTGTACAACTTGTATTTTTACTTCATAACATTTATTAAACAGATTTAATTACTCATTACTTTACAAATTAATACTTTACTTACAAAACAGCACTGTTTTATTAAATATAATGCATTTTTATAGAGTGAACCCAACAGTATCAAACAGTTAGCACAACCTGTTAAAGCAACACCTGTTAATGCATCAGTGATAAACACCCCTATAAATCATCCAGTAATAAATAGCATTACACTGACAGGTGCTATTCTGCATATAGAGTACTTCTACTTAACACTTTGAATGCAGGAATACTTGTAATGGAGTATTTTAGTGTGGTACAGCTACTTTTACTTAGTATATAATGTGAATACTTCCTCAGTCACTTATTTTTTTCAAAGTGTATTGCTGAATACGTCTTGTATTGTAATAAAGAAAATACAAAGAGTATTTTAAAAAGTTATAGTTTGAAATTCGGATCAGTTTTAAGCTTCTTTAAACTTTCAAAAATGCACTAATCAAAAAAGTTATTCTCCCTTTGGAGCAGCTGCGACAGCCTTTAATTCCTGCAAAAATGATCTTCTGTTACAATTTACGATTTGTATATCTAATACCACATTGTAATGTAGATAATCTTTTATTGTCTGTCAACAATGCTGCCAGCACTAATTTTCCTCCATGATAATAACATAAATATTTATAATAACTGTGTGCTGGGGTGATGGATGTTCTCACAGGGCTGTCGATCTAGTAGATTTACCTTTAATGCTACTGTGCTGGCTCAGGGAATACACAGAAGCCCTCGCAAAATGAGCTACAGATGTGGGCCCTCAGCCATGCAGAATGATAGAGAGAGGGAGGCAGAGGGAGAAGGGAAGGAGAGAGAAAGAAAGAAAGAAAGAAAGAAAGAAAGAAAGAAAGAAAGAAAGAAAGAAAGCGAGACACACATACCCTGAGTGGGTGGCTCATAAAAAAGTGTTCAGATTGCATAACGTGACTGCTTTCATGGAAACCTCACAACTTTAGTTTTTTCATTTACTTTCACTGATTGAAAATGGCCCCTGGGCACGTAAAAGCTACTCCAAACACATTTTTATTATTTCAAAAACTTATCTCTGTCTAGAACTAAGGCTTTATTAATGCTCGGGTTGTGTTATTTTTCTTTCTTTTCAGTTGGTTAGGTTTTCATCTGACAGCCCCACTAAGGGGAACAGAGCCTCTATGGTCGTGATGAAGCAAGGGCCTTATCGAGGGCTACTTGTGGTCTGTAAGGCAGCGGGAGGCAGACAGAACTGTGAAGATATGAGCCCGGCTCTCAGACGATAATTGCTTTCAGCTTCGTTTTATTCATTTTAGTTTCCCCCGTTCTGTCTGCAAGCTGCTGCAAAGTCAGGGAAAGAGGATGGGGAAGGGAACGTCCACACGTTTGCAACCGCACATAAAGGCTCGACCTCGCAGCTCCACTTTTTAAACCCTCCCTTCTTTTCATCCTCAGTGTTGTTGGTTTGGTCCAATGAGACTTTTCTTGAGCTGAAACCTGGCGAAACAGTCTGCTTTCTGTCTGAGGCTTAATGGCTCTCTAGAGAGGATAGGGCAAATGTGCACAGACTGACCAAGTCTTCTTCTTCTTCTTCTCCTTCCTATCTCTGTGTGTGTATCTGTATTCCCAATACAAGTTTTTTTCTACAGCTGTTTGTCTTTGTTTCACTTGCAGTCTTCCCCTCCCTGTCTCTGTTCATTTTAACCCAATGTTAAGCGTATTCACTGTTGTCAAAGCTCTGAGAGAATACAGAGATTTTTAGAAACACAGACAAACATTTCTACAGCTTGTCAGGAAGCCTTCAGTGAAAGGTGTCTGTGTGTTGACAGACAGTATTGTCTCTAGGTCATTAAATTGCTGTTGCTACATGTGGAGGTAATCCCCCCTCGCCTCCGTAAGCTATAAATGACAAGTTTCACACACATACTGTACACACATGGGCAGAGTCCCATGCACCTCTTTCTCCCATATAAAAGAGTGAACACATCCCAGGTAGTGAACTAGCATTTTACAGGCCCATTGACATAGCTCTGCTTTGACATAGAGAAGTTATTGTCAGGAAGGAATTTTTAACTGTGTTTATGGACATGTTGAATTTTACTTGAGAAGGGTTTGGACGCCAGGTTGAAATGCTATCTGGTCGGGCCATGTGCTGAAGTGAGAGCGTCCACTGGACTGCAGTGATTCTGTTTTCCCGCTTTATCCTGCTTATGCATGTTGATTCAGGGTGACTAATGACAGTGAACTGCTTTTACATCATGAATGTGATGGACGCCAAACCTGAGCTCAGCATCTTTGTGTTAGCGGTCCATTGGAGAATATCCAGTGAATGGCTTCTGTTTTCACAATAATGAGTAAAAAACCTTTGCTATGTGTCACAACATCCAATTAATGCTCCATACATCTAGTATATCATTCAGTGGTACCTAATCTTTACTGCCATTTCACCGTCCCACTACCATCTGCTGCGGTTATCCTTTACCAGCTCAGTGGCCTAGCGGTAGAGTGTCCGCCCTGAGACTGGGAGGTTGTGGGTTCAATCCCCAATTTATTGAAGAAATGTGTTGGCTTTTTTTTCCACATTGCCTCTGGTGAACAAAGAATCCAAAAACAGAGAAAAGTATTGTCCATGTTAAAAAAAAACAAACAGCAAAACTCTATCAAAACATTCATTTACAAACTCTCACAGAACTCTTGCAATATAATCCAAGTCTTATTTATCTAGTTGTATGCTCAGTACTCTCAAACAGACAGCCTTGTCTAACAGGAAGCTGAACTAAAAGTGAAACTTATCCATGCTCTCTTCAAAGCCAGACTCCATTGACAAAAACAGTAATTTTATTTTGCTGAACACAGGAGCTGCTGGTCTACTACTGCTTAGCCCAGTCAGGTTTTTAGTGTTATTGTGTGACTTTGCTTAATCCAAACTAAAACTCCAAAATCCCAAAGTGGCACTATGACAAAAACAAACTAACTGATTGAGGCAGCTGTATACTTGCAGCTACCGCATTCAGCAAGGTAAAATTACTGTTTTTGTCAAAGGACTCTGGCTATTTGGAGAACTTTCAACCTTAGTTCAGTTACCCATCAGAAAGAGCTGTCTTTGGGAAGTACTGAGCATAAGACTGGATAAATGAAACTTTAATTAAACTGCATGAATTGTGTGAGAGTTTGTAAATGGATTTAGTTTTGCTGTTGTTAAAGCCACAGTTGGTAATCCTGTTCAGAAACACTTCTTGTTATACTGGGTAAAATGGGCCTTCCATCCTGAAAGTAGTTAATACATAATGTGTTCAGAAAAAGGAATGAAAAAAATCCGACCTCTGTGGCAGCTGCAGGCCTGTAAAAACTCTGACCAATCCCTGCCATTCGGTGCGAATGGAAAGAGCCAGTCAGATGCCTTCATGTCTCGTATCGCCTGAGCCCCCCTCTGTCCCTCCCTCCCTCCTCCCTGTGTGCACTCATCACGTGTCACCGTTGCCAGAAATATTCAGCACACTCCTCAGCAGAAATGCTGAGTAAGCAGGAGTTTGCTGAATAATGGCAGAGACAATGCAGCCAAAAGTATCACTTCCAGTGTTACTTGTAATGGCTCGCCCCGCTAAACAGGCTGAGAAAGGAAAGTCAGAGGCAGAAAAGGCTGCGACGAAAAAGGCTTTGGATAAAGTGAGAGGACAAACCAGACATCAACAGCAGTCCAGCTTTTGAACGGTGGAGACAACTGAAAGAGCTGAAGGGCCTGAAAAGTGATGCAGAGGTTGTTGTCTTTCTGTTGGACAGGTAATTATTTGTTTGCTTTGGGGGGATTTGTTATTTTACTCGGCTCTCCTCTGCTCTGCTGACTGCAGGATGCACGTTCAGGCAAGTCTGGGCTCGTGGCTTTGGACGGAGCACTGATGGGAGGGGGAGCAGGGGGTGGAGCTTAGAGGAGGTGCCGCTTTCAAATCTTGCTAGCTCTCCAACATTACCAACTATGGCGTTAAATGTGGACCCTTTTTATTCAAATTCATCAAGCATTGTCTCTATTTTTGGATTCTACGTTACCTTGATGCATACGAAAAATATGTTTCCCTCATGAATTCAACATAAGATAAGGAACTGATATCAAAATGGTCATTTATGGGGGTGAAGTATTCCTTTAA